CTTTAACAGAGACACTATTTGGTGACTATAGTAAGAATAGTAAGTGAGAATATATCGTTATTATTCTTGTTCTTCCATGGGCCATGTTCCTTCAGCTGGTTGCCGATCATGTCTCTCCACAATTTTCTATCCTTTGAAGCTCTTAATATATTTTCCCTTTTATTATCTCTCGCAGCTTTTGTTCTGCCACCCATTTACTCAAACACCATGGGTTGGGCATACGTTGTTTTTGTCTTTTGTTCTTTCCATCAGTCTTTCCAGTGAGTATCAAATTTTCAAGTCTTCTTAATCTCTGAAGCGATTGTCAAACTCAGTATCATATAGAAGGACTGATGTTACATGTTAGTTCAGTACTCTTTTGTTTGTCTGTAACAAAATTTCTCTGTTTCTTAATACTTTGCTTAGCTTTTGGGGGCATCTTTTACTGTGTCAATGCACCTTTGGTTTTCAGTGTCACACTTTCCGTCTTCTGTTAAAACACTTCATAGATATTTAAAGTGTTGCACTTCATTGACTTGGGTATCTTCAAATTTTAATTTGAATGTTGGGGTGTTATTATTATTATTATTATTATTATTATTATTATTCCATTTGATTTCTGGTGTGCTCATTTCTTTCCGGGTACAGACCAGAGACCTTAGCTCAGATATGGCGTCATGACAATTTTCACTGAGCAACTTAAAAAACAAAAAAAATATTTTACATTGATACATTTTCCCTCAATTTAGGTCTTGTGCCATGTATATACTTTATGATAAATACTGTTAGAAACTAAGCCAATGCTTTTGGAGGAAGAGGAAATGATAAGACTAACCATTTCCATACAAGATACATTCTGTATTCAAAACCGAAGTTAATGCTGATAAGTTTATGAAATATTTTTTGAAAAGATTTTCAGGAAATTAAACTCACTAAACCTTAAAGCACTCTAATGCTGATGGGAATTTCCTTACAGATTTATTTTTTTTTGGTAATGTTTGAAATGAACTTACCAGCTGTGATACGAAGTCGTAATTATCTCCCCTGTCTTATAATTTATATAAATAAGTCACGCCTCTTGGCCAAAATACAAAGAAGACTATATAGCTACGTTCGATAAAGGCATATTAAGCCGAACTAGACTCAGAGTTTTCATTACACAATCTTTATTCTATTATTATTTTCTTTTCGAGTTTCATGTTCTACAAATTCCTCCTACTTATTCTATTGGAAGGATTAATGTTTGTTTTTTTTTTTCTATTTGCAAAAGCTCTTAGTTTGAAATTTTATAGCATCATTATATACAGGTTGCTGAACTTTGTTACAGGAAAAAAGTCAATTTTGTCTAGGACAAAAAAACAGCAAAAAAAAAAAAATTGGACAAAATGTTACAGCTTGATCTTGCGAGTGACATGTTTGGTATAGATGAACCCATTGTAACAGACTTTTAAACGACGCTTATTACTGTCAATTTCCAATAACTCAAGTCATTTTCTCTTGAAGCATGTATATTTACACCTAAATGTAAGTTTTCGGGAATTTTTTTAATGCGAACTGAGTCCGGATTCTGAACTGCAAATTAACTGATGAAATAAAAACATAGGAAGTAAAAAGAATAAAAAACACAATTAGAAAGAGAGCCTCGATTTGAATTTCTGAAACAAGGTCTTGCTATTTTAATGCAGTTATTTTTACGATCTACTTAGATTGATTTTTGAGGTTTTATTTTTCTGATACCTATTCTTTATCTTCCGATCTTTCTAATGTGCCCGTTACACTTGGTATTTCAGCGAAGATAATGAATGCCTATTTATTTGCCTCAATGTTGTTCTCTTTAAATTGAGAGCGAATTACTTCTTGAATGAACGTATAAGAAAAAAAGAATCCCAAGAGAAGGAACAACAAAATCAAAGGAAATCTGAGTGAAAATTAAAAAGCAAAACACAAAGGAATATGAAGAAATCAAAAACGAATGAGATGTTACGTTTAGACTGCCTCTAAGTGTGCTTTAATATTGCTTTATATAATCATTTCAAATCAAGCAAGTCGATGACATTGTCGGAGTTAGCTCCTCCTTAATTCCCTAATTGTTTACTAGGGGTCGCTCTCCCTACACTATAAATACTGGGCGACTTCTTGCCTCGTTCTCTTTTTATATTGCATTTCAGCGGACACATTTAAAAAATATGATCTCTCGTACAGATCCGCGTTTTGCCCCACTTTTGGAAAACGACAAGAAAAACGCACTCACATACACGTACGTACGATCATTTACCAAAATACAAACTCTTTACGTTCACACGCAAACACAAATGTTAATGTCTATGTCCATTGTAAATCTTGTTGTTTAATACATATATTTGTTGACATGTATATATCGACCATGTTTATTTTCTTTACATCTTTGGTTGGACTCAACATGAGTCCGCCATTGTTCTTGTAGTTGGACCTTCTAGCAGGAATAAACACGACGTGTTCCTAATTTAACAACACTCAAACCCATACAGTCCTTTACAACATCACTAGGACGTAATGGGCTACTCGGAGTTAAATAATTTTTTTTAGATATTTTTGTACGAAAAATAAAAATAGATAATTCTAAATATTGCAAAATGTTTACGTCATTGGCGTTTTAGTATGACCCCTGTGAATAGGTGATATATTTTGGGTTGAATAGAAATGGATGTTTTTTTTTTGTGGTAAATGAGTAAATTGTAAGAATGAATGGGTCGTGAATCGGATTAGCTAGGTATAGGATAGTTACTGTTGCTCAACCTCCCCTTCGGCCTTGTGCCACAATTTCTGTAAGAACAGGAGTAAATAAAATCTAGGTGTCGGATAGTTAAGGACAAACAGTCTTTCCTTATTTCCCCTTTGACCTTCTACCACATAGTAATTGTATAGATTATTAAAATAACGGTTAATGGCAGTGAAGGAGAATGAAAAAAAAACTCTAGTTAGGAGAAAGGTTAATAAAAGAACAGATTTCAGGCGATTGGACTTGCATTTAAATTTTTGAAGATTGCAAGCGGCAGAGAAGCTAGAAATCGAAACGGAGTCGCGCAGGCGAGAAGGTAAACTTCGAGTAGAACTGACGGTTGCATCTCACTAGTTCAATAGTATTATTTTACTTTAAAATCAGAGAAGGTTAAAATTAAACACAGCGACAACAAAGATGGGTCGCACATGTAAGTATAACGGAAAACAATAATATTAAGAACCTGTTAACTTTTCACACTAGAAAAAATGTTTGGAAGTAAACTCCTATCAATATAAAAAAAAAATCCATAACAGGCATATTTTGAGATATCTGTAGAACAACTGCTTTAAAGATAAAATACTATAACTTTCATTCACCAGTCATGGTAACTGGTAAATAAAAGTCGAGCATTTCCGGAAGAGTTAACGTATATACTCCTGTAACACGTGATCTCGCGTATCGTACGACCCTCCAACTTTTCACTTATAAAAAATCATTTTATAATGAATCGCGTGTATCACGCGTGTTCCTTTTTTGAGTGACCAAATTATAAAAGACTAAACTTTTTTCCTCTATCTCTTTATCTCATCTTCTAAATAAATAATTTAAAAAAGTAATAGAGAATGATAAAAGTATCGTTAGTAACGCTATACTCGTTGATTAAATGCGTACAGCCATAAACAGCCGAACGGGAGACAGCTAAATATCTTATAAGCGTAAAAAATGGAAAAGATGAATATTCACTATGTTTGTATTTCATAATACGATATTATTATGCGAAGATTATATGCATTATTATTGAATACAAATAAGTAAAACATTAGTTTTAGAAACATCAGGTTTATTTTAAATACACAGCTGTAATTTCGACTACAGTAAATGGATATATAGTTTGGTCAACGGCATAGTGAGGGTCAGCAGTATATACGCTAATTTTACATCTCTTGTATGATGTGAAGCCCTTAAAATTAGCTTCAACATTAGGTCTTCAAAACTCGCATGAGACACGAGTATATACGGTAATCTTGAGCTGGTGATTTATAAAGCCAGTATCGAGTATTTGATCCCCTCTGTTTTAGACTATATATGGTTGTCAAGTATCAATAAAGACAGCTTTAATTAGAATTTTACATGTCTATAACCTAAATAACGCTTATCATTTACAGAAATAAATAAAAGATAAAGACTTCATTGAAACCGCCTATCTTTTTTATTGGCAATCTATTATATTCTTTCATGTGTTAAGAAATTGTCACCGACACCCTCTGATGAAGCCTTTTTGAAAAACTGGCCATTTCAAAAGCATCAAGCGCTCCCACCCCAACAACGTTTCTTTTAAAAGCTAATTTCAAAATTTCGCCTTTCCCCGCAGCTCCATAAAGATTTCTTCCTGGCAAAGGCGGTTTCATATTTTCTGTCTTTATAAGAACTGAGTTAAAAACAATGATCTGAAATCCTGTTTTTCTAGGCAATTACTTGTCCTTTCATTGGACTATGCGAACAACATGATCTTCCTGCTAATATACCTTGCCTTGCACACGACTGAATTATTAAATATCTAATTCGAACGAGAAAACGCAGTTGTGGAATAGAATGTGTAGTGTCACAGAGATCCAGAACATTGGTCTAAGGAACACTCGCATAAAAAATATATATATATATATATATATATATATATATATATATATATATATATATATATATATATATATGTGTGTGTGTGTGTGTGTAATTTTAGGAATTATGCTCTAATGTGGGTTGTATTAATATACGAACAATGCGTGCAAATAAAAGATTATAAACCATATGTATCTTCAAGAATTAATATTACTACAAATGCCTTAAATATTATTCTGTAATATAGTGAATATCAATGAAATTGAGCATTTTGTACATGAATAAAGGTTTAATTTATCAAAAAAATATAATTATAGATCAATGGTCCTTAAACGGAAATTCCATAGATCAATGGTCCTTAGATGAGTATTCCTTAATCAAAGGTCTTTACACAGTTTCCCTTACACCAATATTCTTTAGATGAATGTTCCTTAGACCAAAGTTCCTTAGACCAATATTTTTAGATGAATGTTCCTTAGACCAAAGTTCCTTAGACCAATATTTTTTAGATGAATGTTCCTTAGACCAAAGTTCCTTAAACCAATATTCTTTAGATGAATGTTCCTTAGACCAAAGTTCCTTAAACCAATATTCTTTAGATGAATGTTCCTTAGACCAAAGTTCCTTAAACCAGTATTCTTTAGATGAATGTTCCTTAGACCAAAGTTCCTTAAACCAATATTCTTTAGATGAATGTTCCTTAGACCAAAGTTCCTTAAACCAATATTCTTTAGATGAATGTTCCTTAGACCAAAGTTCCTTAAACCAATATTCTTTAGATGAATGTTCCTTAGACCAAAGTTCCTTAAACCAACATTCTTTAGATGAATGTTCCTTAGACCAAAGTTCCTTAAACCAATATTTTTTAGATGAATGTTCCTTAGACCAAAGTTCCTTAAACCAATATTCTTTAGATGAATGTTCCTTAGACCAAAGTTCCTTAAACCAATATTTTTTAGATGAATGTTCCTTAGACCAAAGTTCCGTAAACCAATATTCTTTAGATGAATATTCCTTAGACCAAAGTTCCTTAAACCAATATTCTTTAGATGAATGTTCCTTAGACCAAAGTTCCTTAAACCAATATTCTTTAGATGAATGTTCCTTAGACCAAAGTTCCTTAAACCAATATTCAAAATGTTCCTTAGACCAAAGTTCTTTAAACCAATATTCTTTAGATGAATGTTCCTTAGACCAAAGTTCCTTAAACCAATATTCTTTAGATGAATGTTCCTTAGACCAAAGTTCCTTAAACCAATATTCTTTAGATGAATGTTCCTTAGACCAAAGTTCCTTAAACCAATATTCTTTAGATGAATGTTCCTTAGACCAAAGTTCCTTAAACCAATATTCTTTAGATAAATGTTCCTAAATGTAAATGTCGCATCCTTTTAGCAATATGAAATGCACCTACTCCACAAATCAGGAACATCGACAAATTTTCATTTTTTGATTGCAAAGTAACAGATTTGCGTTTTCTCTCAATAAACCACAAATAACGGCTGAACATCTGTAAAGAATTATTCGAAAATATCGTTTTCTAATTTTTATTGAATATTATCCAAATGCGAAATCGACACATATTGATTTCTTTATTTTGTTGTCGTTTCTAAATAATCTTAATAGGGAGAACAATACGTAGTTTGCTTTCTAGGAATACAGGTCACTGGGGATTCAGAACATTCGTCTATTGTTTAAGGAATATTTTTCTAAGGATTATTGGTCTAAGAATATTGGTCTATTGAACACTTGTCTAAAGAATATACGTCTAAGAAATATTCATCTAAAGAATTATGGTCTAATGTGTGCTGTATTAATATACGAACATTGCATGCCAATAAATGCTTATAAACCACATGTATCATCAAGAATTAATATTGCTGTAAATGTCTTAAATATTATTCTGTAATATTGTGAATATCAATAAAATTGAATATTTGTACATTAATACAGGGTTAATTTATTAAAAATATTATTAAAGATCAAAGGTCTTTAGACGAGTATTTCTTAGACAGATGTCCTTAGAAAGGTTTCCCTTCGACCGCTATTCATTAGCCGAATGTTTGCAAATGCATCATCACAAGATAAATAAATATGAAGAAAGAAGAAAACAAGGGAGAGTGAGAAAAATAGGAAGTGAATTTAAACACTGCAAAGAGCGTGTTAAAAGAATTGATAAATGGAATTATAAAAGAACGAATATTGTAAGCATTAATTATGAAAGGCCTGCCAAAAATGAAAAATCAGGTTAGAAGAAGAAAAAAAAAAGGAAAGCCTACAAATAACACGGATCAAAATGGATGATGTAAACAGTAATGACAATAATGGAAAACAAATGAGGAATGCGAACGAAAAAAATGCATTAAAAAAAATTACAAAACATAAAACCATAAATCTTTTTCCTATGAAAAAAACTCGGAGTGTAAAGAATCGATTTTTATTCCAATTGAGTAAGGTTGGGCCTTTCTTGACAAAATAGTTTCAGGAAAGAACGGATAACAAGTAAAAGAGCAGGAGGTTCTTTGAAAATTAAATAAATGGAAAAACAAACAACAACAAAAAACATCAAGGATGGGTTTTTGTTAGGACTAAAAAAATATCCGGGAACACTGTGACTTTTATGGTTATTCTCCAAATAGAACCAAATTTTTTTACGATAACTTTAATGCAAATGTTAAATGAAGTTAACTGCGAGTTGAAAAATTTAGCACAAGATTAGGGAAAAAGAAAACAGACATGAAATTGAAAGAATATATAATTTAAATTTTAAAAAAAAGTGAAGTAAATTGGAAATAAATATAGTAAAATAAAATATCAATGTTTACAGAGGAAAATATTTAAGTAAATAGTAGAGATATTATTTCATACACTTCGAAAATCGAATATACAATGGCTTTCCCAAATAAACAGGCTAAATGTCATATTAAAGTTGTTATACAAATAGAACAAGGAAATAAATTTCATTCTTTCTTACTACCGATAGAAAATATTCATTTTGCTTTATTTCCGTCATTTTTTTCGGCGATTCAATATTCAGTGTTCAGATCGCACAAAGAACGTGTCCAAGATGGATGGATTCATCTGATCCTCGCGTGTGTCGCCCATACAGAAATCAACTCTACTAGACAAAAAAAAAAGCACCGATGCACCATATACATAATTTATCCACACACACACACATATATATATATATTATGAAGTTCTTTGATAACACCAACGACGACGACGACGACATCTCCAACAAATGAAAATTGAAGAAATCACTGGTTGATGACATTTATTGACGTAGATGGTTATGAAGAACAAACTGAGACGTACATTGCTGTCCATAGGCTGGGCATTGAATGCCGACACCAGGTGACGGTGTCCCACGCAAGCGGCGATCATCACGCTGTTGCTGGCAGAATTCCTGGTCTTGATTTCGGCTATAATATATCATTTTTCTTAAATATTATTTATTAATATTTACAAAATTAAAGTATTAAAAGACTTATTAAAGAAAATGTACCTTACGACATGAATTCCCCTTTTAGCATGATGTGCTTTTCTGATTCACCCACGGAGTTTTCTGCACCAATGAAAAACTCGCTTACACATTTTTTAGAAAATGTACACCTTGACTTGACGAGATGTACATTTTTTGTAAAATATGACTTTTGAAATAAAAGGAATGTCGGATGTTTACAGAAATATATATACCAACTTCGTTACTCTTTATATTAATAAGATACAATGTCTGATTTAAAGAATCCACATAGTTTGAATGACTTGTTTTTTTTCTCCTGGTTAAGAAAATAACGTTTCCAATTAGAGACGTGGCTTATGTAAGAAGGAGTAAAGAAATATGCTCCAGTTCTCTCCAAAGGCTACAACAATTCCCACGCTGCTTCCTGGTTTTCAGCTTGCTGGATGTCCTCCTCTGTATTTCTCTGGAGAACTCTCTGATCCAACAAATAATCTCCCTATTAGTCTCTGACCGCTTTTTGGCAAAGTATTCGAAACTTTTATCCATGCTGTAGTGGTTAGGCGTATTACTTCTCCCAACCAGCTCTCAGACAAAAATATGGCTTCCGTTTCGCCAGATCTACCGCTGATGTGTTAACAGCCATCAAGGAACATGCATATCAAACTCTTGACAATAACGGCTAAGCTCGAGCTGTGACTAGATATCTCGAAGTATTTTGATAGGGTTTGGCGTACTGGTCTTCTGGGCAATCTGAAGGGCTACGGTAATCAAGGACGATTGTTTGATTTAAACCAATTTTTCTATCAAATCGTGAATGAAGGTTGTTTTGAATAGGCTCTCTTCCAGATCATTTCACATTAACGCACATGTACCCCAAGACTCTTTACCGGTCACTACATTGTTTCTGATCTTCATCAATGATCTTTTTGAGGACATCAGTTCCCAAGTATGTATTTATGCAGATGACACGACCATTTATACTTGCCTCAGTGGCAATTCCAAAAGAGCTGTAAATCTTGATGCTGCCCTTAAGAAGTAGATCCAATCAGTGGTTAACTGGAGCAAGAAATTTTTTTTAAAAATTTTAACGACTCCAAAACTGTTCTCCTTTAATCAGAATAGTTCAACCAGTCTGTCTGCCATGTCTGACGCTAGATTCCTGGAGACCCTCACTCTACGCCTTCTTGGCCTCAAGTTTTCAACTGCTCTTGAAGTTGAGCGACTACGTTCAATTAATAGCTGTATCTACTGCAAGGAAAGTTCAGTCACTGTGTCGTGCAACAAAATATTTTCTTTTCAGTGTCTATCTTGAACATTTTCATATCTACCATTCGACTGTGAATTGAATACTGCTGTTATATGAGGTCTGGTGCTCCTGATATTCAACTATTCAAGGGTAGACAAAAATTGCAATATGAGCACTGGTAAAAATGATTGCTGAAGACATTAGGTTTATAATACACAAAAATTCATACACTGATGATAAAGACACATGGCACAGTGGATAAAGGCGTTAGCTAGATCCAATGAAAGGGCCCAAAGAGTGAGAGTTCAATACCTGGTTAAGATGGTGGAGAACTTGGAGAAGGGAATTAAGAGGAGATAACTGATATCCATTAGACATGGCGCGTGGAACTAGAACAGTCTACCCCAGTGAGCGAAATAAAGGGTTCAGTTTGACATTTCAACCACCTGAAGATGGCCGGAGCATACAACGGCCAAAACGTTGTGATAAATATGGCAACAAAGATGAGGAATATTGTAAATGATGAAATAACTTCACTGTAATTAAAGTTAAAAAATTCAAATAAAACCACTCACTAGCCATCTTCTGTAACATACTAAAATCTATTTAAGCACTCTATTGAATCTTACAGAAACTTAATTAAAAACATTACAATTCGAATATTCAACTACTAGCAAAGAATCTAATTAAACAATACGGAAAACTCACTTCTTAGACTCTTTTGAAGCTAAATGTTTACTCAACATATTTTCAGCTTTACAGAATTTTTTCAATTTTCTCAAATGGAATATTTTTAGGGCCAAGATAATTCAACTTTGTATGAGCTCAGATAAAAAACCATTTCATTAGTAAATACTTTAATTCCAGTCAAAGGGAAGTGACTCCTATTAATTATTCATGTATATCATTTGACATTAATGAAATATAGATATTGCTGTTATAAAACCGTTTTGTATTCCATATTGTTTCATATGATATTTTGAAAAAAATATAAATTCTAGAGATCATTTAATGCCTAAATTAAATTTTGTCGCGAGCAACACCTCTACAATTGTATCTAGCAATTTTCTATATTTTCATGAAGGAAGTAGGGAAAAGGAAACACTTTGCAAATATATGACTACAGAAATTTAGTCCTTAAGACCGTCACATATAGAGAGATATTTCAGTTAGATTTATTATTTTGAAAGTACTAAGGAAACTTGCATAAACTAACTCTCACCATTTCGACTATTCCCACCCAATTTGGCATTCATTATTTTCAAGGGTGTAATCATGGTATATGTGTTATTGAATAATTCCAGGAAATCGCATACCTCTAAAATAGAAAATGATATACCTGTTAGCTAGACCTCACACGTCCTGGGTATGACGATTAAATACACCCAGCAACAAGGCCCCTGATCGGAAGGTTCTGAGGAGCGTGGGACCACCGCTTATTGCTGATATTACCACGGTCAGCCTGACCTGGGGTGGTATAACCTGTTAGGCTGTCAACTCTGAGTGAACAGTTAACCAAACTGGGGCCAAAACACTATGAAAGTATAAAAACATTTTCGTAGTAAAAATATCGAACATTTTCATGTTAAATAATTACCAGCAGTACATTTTTGAAAAAAAAAAAATTACCAGCAATATATTTAAAAAAATAAAACCAGCA